ATTAATCTGAATTAATCTGAATTAAAGCTAACAGCAAACTGTTACCAGACTTTCTGTTTACTACAATGTTCGGTGTCTAGTTGCATCTTTAGCTGTAAGCAAAAATAAAATAATGTCGTATATTCTGACTTCTTGAATGCATTTAGTGAAATAAATGAACTTTTTTAGTGATGTTCTGATGTAAACTTAGCAGGTTGGTATTTCCAGTGGGAGACTGAACGATATAAATGTAGAAGATCTGGAGACGATTCAAACCAAACATTTAGAACTTCATGTAAAATTTGACGATTATGACTTTTCTTTGTTTAGAAATAAACAACGAAAGATTTTGGTTTCAATTCCTTTTCTTCACTGCATGTTTTTTTTTTTTTTCCAACAATTAAACCCAAAAATGAAGCAATGGTGAAAAATAACTTTACTAGAGCTAATTTTTACAGAAAGCGGTAAAAATCCACGTTAAGTTCGCATTAAGGACCCGTTTCTCCGATTGTTGCATCATTAAAGTCGTCATTTCAACTGGAACTTCTGAATTGTTTGGTTCGAACAATGAACACAGATAAACAAACACGAAGCTTTGGTTTTTACTGTTCTCAGTTTGGTGGAGTAACGAAGAACACTGATGTCCAAGTAAAAGTGTTTTATATAAAACATTAAAGCTGCAAAAAATATTTATTATTTTTTTTTGTAATATTTGGACATTTTAGATCCTGAAAAGCTCAGATTAAAGACGGTGATGATACTTAGTCACACGTTCAGAACAGAGATGCTCGATTATTGATGAATCTGAACATTTCCAGTTAAAGCCATCCATGAGTGATTGTGAGCCATGCTGAGGACCGTCCTCAGAGCATCCTCTCAGTGACGTTTGTCAGTAGATCAGAGCAAGCATTCGTCGCCCTCGGTTTGCTTTTTGGTCGTCTGTCTCAGCGTTCCTTTATGCACAATAACCGCTCTACAGCAGGTTGGAATGAGGAGCAGGAAATGTGTTCCCTTTGGCGTGGAGCATACATGCTGTAGAAGAACCAGGTCTCCTCTGCTAGCTTGCATTGCACTTTTTTCCTCCAGCAGAGCTTTGCTCCCAGAATCCTCAGCTGACGTCTAGCTGCTGGAGTTTGTGTCCATCTTTGCCACCAGCAGCCTTAGAGTGTCTCCTGATGAGCGAATCCGCTCTCTGCCTCTGAAAAGAAAGAGCAGTGAGACCTTCGCAGGATTTCTAGCACCTGAATTATGCTGAAATGGGGATAAATCAGGGGATTCTAGCTCACATAGGTCTATGATTCTGTGCAGAAACTTACACATTATACTCCATCCCGACCAGACTGACGCCGTTTACAGCCAGGATCCGATCCCCTGTTCTCAGCTTCTGGCACCGAGCAGCCGGAGAGTCGGGGACGACAGACTTCACGTAGATGCCGCTCATTCTAAGGGGGGTTTTCTGCAACGACGGGAGCAGACGGCAAAACAGAATAAATACAGAGCTGAAGTGATTCTTATTTGATCCTCCTTCTGATTCTCCTTCAGGCTGTCACTATGGAGTCAATTCTGTTCTATTACTGTTTCAGCAAAGAAAATATTTTGTAAATGAAAACCTGAAAAAAAAAAAATACAATACAGAAATCAAACTAAAAACATTTTAATTGTTAAAAGGTTTTGAGAATAACTTTACTGCTTTCCCACATTATTTTTTTTATTATTTCTTTGTTTTTAAACTTAATTGATCTCAAATTCATCCTTTTCAGATCAGATTTCACTAATTGTATTATCTTCAAATTGCATTTTTTCAGATATCATTCTCCTTACTTCTGGGGACGCCCGGGCTTTCCCGTGGAGTGAAAACACATTTCTATTGGTCTGCATTAGCATTAGCAACATTT